AGGGCTGTGTTCCTACAGAGATACTTAAAGGGTAAGTGTTTTACCTTAAGGGGAAGATAAAATAATAATGGTCTCTGGTTTTAAAGAATCTTGCTTGCTGCTTGTCCTTCATCTCTGCGTCCAAGACCAAATCTGGAATCTGATCTACATAAGTTAAGTATCTGTTTAAAACTTAGTTGTTTAAGAAATGACCTTTGCAGAATGTTTGTAGTAAATAATGCATCTAAGATGGGACTCACTGTTTGGGGAAGGGGAATAAAGCTACTCTAGCTGTACACGCTGCATAGGTAAGGCTTGGATCAGGTGAAATTGGCAGTAGGGTTCTCATGTAGGCTGGATATAGGTGGCTTATACTCCGAAATTAGTCGCATGGGTTCTCCAAACCTTGTGATACCAGAAAGTGCTTGCTGATTGATTTACAACTTGCTTTTTGTTTAGGGAGGCAAAAACAGCAGAGAATTATAGTTTAAGTAACTTTATGCTGCAAATGTAATACACAATGTTCTAGTTAATTTAGGAGTTATGTATTCTTAATCTCAGTTGGTTTCTCTCCATGTTACAAATATGACCACAAGTGATTCATTTGATTAATTTAGATTTGGAAATGCTGAAGATAAAATTTGCATCTGCCCAGTGAAAGGCACTGTAGTTTATGTGAAAATGGAAAGTGAGTAAAAGACAAATGAGATTTTGTTGGATGGCTGCCACGTCTTCTAAGTTGTAGCAAATTGCTTTGTCTTCATATACTTCAGTAAATATTATTTAGCAAATTTATTAAATGGGGAAAAAAGGCAAAGTTTATCTTACCTTTTTTCAAGATGTTGTAGCAATCTTATGTTTTCAGCACTTAATAACCCAAACACCTAATTGCTATACTTCTTATATCTCCATCTTCAAATCAATGGTATTAAATTGCTTCCTGTGCATGGGAAATAAAATTGGCATTTCAGCTTGGAGTAATAAAAATGGGAAATCAGAAATACCTGTAGTTCAATGCTTCAGCAAATATAGGGAATGCAAGCAAGGCCTAAAAATGTTATTAAAACATCAGGAACATCTGACTGACATAGTTTCATAGTTTCTAGGGTCGGAAGGGACCTGAGCAGATCATCTAGTCCG